AGTCAGTGACCTCCAGTCAGTGACCTCCAGTCAGTGAGCTCCAGTCAGTGACCTCCAGTCAGTGAGCTCCAGTCAGTGACCTCCAGTCAGTGACCTCCAGTCAGTGAGCTCCAGTCAGTGAGCTCCAATCAGTGACCTCCAGTCAGTGACCTCCATTCAGTGAGCTCCAGTCAGTGACCTCCAGTCAGTGAGCTCCAGTCAGTGAGCTCCAGTCAGTGAGCTCCAGTCAGTGACCTCCAGTCAGTGAGCTCCAGTCAGTGACCTCCAGTCAGTGACCTCCAGTCAGTGACCTCCAGTCAGTGAGCTCCAGTCAGTGACCTCCAGTCAGTGAGCTCCAGTCAGTGACCTCCAGTCAGTGAGCTCCAGTCAGTGAGCTCCAGTCAGTGACCTCCAGTCAGTGAGCTCCTGTCAGTGAGCTCCAGTCAGTGAGCTCCAGTCAGTGAGCTCCAGTCAGTGAGCTCCAGTCAGTGACCTCCAGTCATTGAGCTCCAGTCAGTGACCTCCAGTCAGTGACCTCCAGTCAGTGACCTCCAGTCAGTGACCTCCAGTCAGTGACCTCCAGTCAGTGAGCTCCAGTCAGTGACCTCCAGTCAGTGACCTCCAGTCAGTGACCTCCAGTCAGTGACCTCCAGTCAGTGACCTCCAGTCAGTGACCTCCAGTCAGTGAGCTCCAGTCAGTGAGCTCCAGTCAGTGACCTCCAGTCAGTGACCTCCAGTCAGTGACCTCCAGTCAGTGACCTCCAGTCAGTGAGCTCCAGTCAGTGAGCTCCAGTCAGTGAGCTCCAGTCAGTGAGCTCCAGTCAGTGACCTCCAGTCATTGACCTCCAGTCAGTGACCTCCAGTCAGTGACCTCCAGTCAGTGAGCTCCAGTCAGTGACCTCCAGTCAGTGACCTCCAGTCAGTGACCTCCAGTCAGTGAGCTCCAGTCAGTGAGCTCCAGTCAGTGAGCTCCAGTCAGTGAGCTCCAGTTAGTGAGCTCCAGTCAGTGACCTCCAGTCAGTGACCTCCAGTCAGTGACCTCCAGTCAGTGAGCTCCAGTCAGTGACCTCCAGTCAGTGACCTCCAGTCAGTGAGCTCCAGTCAGTGACCTCCAGTCAGTGAGCTCCAGTCAGTGAGCTCCAGTCAGTGAGCTCCAGTCAGTGACCTCCAGTCAGTGACCTCCAGTCAGTGAGCTCCAGTCAGTGAGCTCCAGTCAGTGAGCTCCAGTCAGTGACCTCCAGTCAGTGAGCTCCAGTCAGTGACCTCCAGTCAGTGACCTCCAGTCAGTGACCTCCAGTCAGTGAGCTCCAGTCAGTGAGCTCCAGTCAGTGACCTCCAGTCAGTGACCTCCAGTCCGTGAGCTCCAGTCAGTGACCTCCAGTCAGTGACCTCCAGTCAGTGACCTCCAGTCAGTGAGCTCCAGTCAGTGACCTCCAGTCAGTGAGCTCCAGTCAGTGAGCTCCAGTCAGTGACGTCCAGTCAGTGACCTCCAGTCAGTGAGCTCCAGTCAGTGACCTCCAGTCAGTGAGCTCCAGTCAATGACCTCCAGTCAGTGACCTCCAGTCAGTGAGCTCCAGTCAGTGAGCTCCAGTCAGTGAGCTCCAGTCAGTGACCTCCAGTCAGTGACCTCCAGTCAGTGAGCTCCAGTCAGTGAGCTCCAGTCAGTGAGCTCCAGTCAGTGACCTCCAGTCAGTGACCTCCAGTCAGTGAGCTCCAGTCAGTGAGCTCCAATCAGTGACCTCCAGTCAGTGACCTCCATTCAGTGAGCTCCAGTCAGTGACCTCCAGTGAGTGAGCTCCAGTCAGTGAGCTCCAGTCAGTGAGCTCCAGTCAGTGAGCTCCAGTCAGTGAGCTCCAGTCAGTGACCTCCAGTCAGTGACCTCCAGTCAGTGACCTCCAGTCAGTGACCTCCAGTCAGTGAGCTCCAGTCAGTGAGCTCCAGTCAGTGACCTCCAGTCAGTGAGCTCCAGTCAGTGGGCTCCAGTCAGTGACCTCCAGTCAGTGAGCTCCTGTCAGTGAGCTCCAGTCAGTGAGCTCCAGTCAGTGAGCTCCAGTCAGTGAGCTCCAGTCAGTGACCTCCAGTCAGTGACCTCCAGTCAGTGACCTCCAGTCAGTGACCTCCAGTCAGTGACCTCCAGTCAGTGACCTCCGGTCAGTGACCTCCAGTCAGTGAGCTCCAGTCAGTGACCTCCAGTCAGTGACCTCCAGTCAGTGAGCTCCAGTCAGTGAGCTCCAGTCAGTGAGCTCCAGTCAGTGAGCTCCAGTCAGTGACCTCCAGTCAGTGAGCTCCAGTCAGTGAGCTCCAGTCAGTGACCTCCAGTCAGTGACCTCCAGTCAGTGAGCTCCAGTCAGTGACCTCCAGTCAGTGAGCTCCAGTCAGTGAGCTCCAGTCAGTGACCTCCAGTCAGTGAGCTCCAGTCAGTGAGCTCCAGTCAGTGAGCTCCAGTCAGTGAGCTCCAGTCAGTGAGCTCCAGTCAGTGACCTCCAGTCATTGAGCTCCAGTCAGTGACCTCCAGTCAGTGACCTCCAGTCAGTGACCTCCAGTCAGTGAGCTCCAGTCAGTGAGCTCCAGTCAGTGAGCTCCAGTCAGTGACCTCCAGTCAGTGAGCTCCAGTCAGTGACCTCCAGTCAGTGACCTCCAGTCAGTGACCTCCAGTCAGTGAGCTCCAGTCAGTGAGCTCCAGTCAGTGACCTCCAGTCAGTGACCTCCAGTCAGTGAGCTCCAGTCAGTGACCTCCAGTCAGTGACCTCCAGTCAGTGAGCTCCAGTCAGTGAGCTCCAGTCAGTGAGCTCCAGTCAGTGACCTCCAGTCAGTGACCTCCAGTCAGTGACCTCCAGTCAGTGACCTTCAGTCAGTGAGCTCCAGTCAGTGACCTCCAGTCAGTGAGCTCCAGTCAGTGAGCTCCAGTCAGTGAGCTCCAGTCAGTGACCTCCAGTCATTGAGCTCCAGTCAGTGACCTCCAGTCAGTGACCTCCAGTCAGTGACCTCCAGTCAGTGACCTCCAGTCAGTGACCTCCAGTCAGTGACCTCCAGTCTGTGACCTCCAGTCTGTGACCTCCAGTCAGTGAGCTCCAGTCAGTGACCTCCAGTCAGTGACCTCCAGTCAGTGACCTCCAGTCAGTGACCTCTAGTCAGTGACCTCCAGTCAGTGACCTCCAGTCAGTGAGCTCCAGTCAGTGAGCTCCAGTCAGTGAGCTCCAGTCAGTGACCTCCAGTCAGTGACCTCCAGTCAGTGACCTCCAGTCAGTGACCTCCAGTCAGTGACCTCCAGTCAGTGAGCTCCAGTCAGTGAGCTCCAGTCAGTGAGCTCCAGTCAGTGACCTCCAGTCAGTGACCTCCAGTCAGTGACCTCCAGTCAGTGACCTCCAGTCAGTGAGCTCCAGTCAGTGACCTCCAGTCAGTGAGCTCCAGTCAGTGACCTCCAGTCAGTGACCTCGAGTTAGTGACCTCCAGTCAGTGACCTCCAGTCAGTGAGCTCCAGTCAGTGAGCTCCAGTCAGTGACCTCCAGTCAGTGACCTCCAGTCAGTGAGCTCCAGTCAGTGACCTCCAGTCAGTGACCTCCAGTCAGTGACCTCCAGTCAGTGACCTCCAGTCAGTGAGCTCCAGTCAGTGAGCTCCAGTCAGTGAGCTCCAGTCAGTGAGCTCCAGTCAGTGAGCTCCAGTCAGTGAGCTCCAGTCAGTGAGCTCCAGTCAGTGAGCTCCAGTCAGTGAGCTCCAGTCAGTGACCTCCAGTCAGTGACCTCCAGTCAGTGAGCTCCACTCAGTGAGCTCCAGTCAGTGAGCTCCAGTCAGTGAGCTCCAGTCAGTGACCTCCAGTCAGTGACCTCCAGTCAGTGAGCTCCAGTCAATGACCTCCAGTCAGTGAGCTCCAGTCAGTGAGCTCCAGTCAGTGAGCTCCAGTCAGTGAGCTCCAGTCAGTGAGCTCCAGTCAGTGACCTCCAGTCAGTGAGCTCCAGTCAGTGACCTCCAGTCAGTGACCTCCAGTCAGTGAGCTCCAGTCAGTGACCTCCAGTCAGTGAGCTCCAGTCAGTGAGCTCCAGTCAGTGACCTCCAGTCAGTGAGCTCCAGTCAGTGACCTCCAGTCAGTGAGCTCCAGTCAGTGACCTCCAGTCAGTGACCTCCAGTCAGTGACCTCCAGTCAGTGAGCTCCAGTCAGTGAGCTCCAGTCAGTGACCTCCAGTCAGTGAGCTCCAGTCAGTGACCTCCAGTCAGTGACCTCCAGTCAGTGAGCTCCAGTCAATGACCTCCAGTCAGTGAGCTCCAGTCAGTGAGCTCCAGTCAGTGACCTCCAGTCAGTGACCTCCAGTCAGTGAGCTCCAGCTAGTGAGCTCCAGTCAGTGAGCTCCAGTCAGTGACCTCCAGTCAGTGACCTCCAGTCAGTGAGCTCCAGTCAGTGAGCTCCAGTCAGTGAGCTCCAGTCAGTGACCTCCAGTCAGTGACCTCCAGTCAGTGAGCTCCAGTCAGTGAGCTCCAGTCAGTGACCTCCAGTCAGTGACCTCCAGTCAGTGACCTCCAGTCAGTGAGCTCCAGTCAGTGAGCTCCAGTCAGTGAGCTCCAGTCAGTGACCTCCAGTCAGTGAGCTCCAGTCAGTGAGCTCCAGTCAGTGAGCTCCAGTCAGTGACCTCCAGTCAGTGACCTCCAGTCAGTGAGCTCCAGTCAGTGAGCTCCAGTCAGTGACCTCCAGTCAGTGACCTCCAGTCAGTGACCTCCAGTCAGTGAGCTCCAGTCAGTGAGCTCCAGTCAGTGAGCTCCAGTCAGTGACCTCCAGTCAGTGACCTCCAGTCAGTGAGCTCCAGTCAGTGAGCTCCAGTCAGTGACCTCCAGTCAGTGACCTCCAGTCAGTGAGCTCCAGTCAGTGAGCTCCAGTCAGTGACCTCCAGTCAGTGACCTCCAGTCAGTGACCTCCAGTCAGTGACCTCCAGTCAGTGACCTCCAGTCAGTGACCTCCAGTCAGTGAGCTCCAGTCAGTGAGCTCCAGTCAGTGACCTCCAGTCAGTGAGCTCCAGTCAGTGACCTCCAGTCAGTGACCTCCAGTCAGTGACCTCCAGTCAGTGAGCCCCACGCATCTCACCTTGCCGTCCTCCCCGCTCGCCCTCCCTCTCCCTCTCCTGCTCCAACCGGTGCTCCCCACAGCACCTCGCGCTGCCCATGCATCCCGTGCCCCCACCACCCACACGCATCTCACCTTGCCGTCCTCCCCTTCGCCGTCCTCGCCTTCCTCCCTCGCAGCTTCGTGCTCCCTCTCCTGCTCCAACCTATGCTCCACACCATCTTCCAGTGAGCCCCACAGCACCTCGCGCTGCCCCATGCGCCTCATTGCCTCGTGCGTCGCCCCCGTCACCACCCCCGCCAGCATGCCCCCCCCCATGCCGCCCCCGTCCGCCCCTGCACTTGACACCATGCCCGTCGCCTCGTCCTCCTCCTCCTCCTGCGCTGCTGGCCTCCCCGCGTGCACTGCGGATGGGGGAGAGGAGCGGGGGGAGGGGGGAGGAGCGCGGGGAGGGGGGAATTTGAAGGAGGTGGGGGAGAAGAGGAGGAGGAGGAAAGGGTTCTGGAGAGGGGGAGGGAGAGTGGCTGGGGAGAAGGGAGGGAGGATCCCAGCGGAGAGGGGGTGCAGTGCAGCAAGTGAGTGTGTGGGGCGTCAATGGATGCACCCCGGCATTGAATGGACTGGGAAGAAGAGAATGGCATGGATGGGAAGGCGACGCAGTGACACAGCGACGCACTGACCCACCGATGATGTGGATGTGGCGGTTGACGAGTGCGAGGATGGCCATGAGGTCAGCGGCGTGCAGCAAGTGACTGTTCGATTTGAAGCATCAACGGATGCACCCCACCCCAGCATTGAATGGACTAAGCTGAGAGGACGCGATGGCATGCATGCGAGTGGGTGGGGCGCACCGATGATGTGGATGTGGCGGTTGACGAGGGCGAGGATGGCCATGAGGTCAGCGGCGTGCAGGAACTGCAGCAGCAGATCGAACGAATACTGGCCTCCCGTAGTGCCATGCCATGGGGGTGGGTTGGGGTGGCGTGGCGTGGGATCGGATCGAGGGGGGGGAAGGGCGGGGTTGTATGCAGCATGGGAGGGCACGTGAGGAGGCGAGGGGCGAGCACAGCAAGGGGGAGCAAGTGAGCTGGATAACAGCGGAATGAGGCGCGAGCAGACACGAGGAGCAGTGCAGAGCAGACGGCTAGATGCTGCAAATGAATATGGTATGGGGTACCTGGCACATGCGGATACACGAGCAGCGCATGCAACCGCCTGCTGTCTGACCGGTGCGTACCTGGCACATGCGAATCACGGCCTTGTTCTCGCGAAAGGCGCGCGCGAGGGGGCTCTGGAGCGCGTGCTGCGCGGCGCTGATGCCCGCGAGCTGCGCCAGGTCGCTGGCGTGCAGGCGCGCGTGGTCCGCGCCGTGCGCCTCCATGAGCGCGCGCGCCGCGTCGGGGTGGTCCTGCGTGACGAGCTCGAGAAAGGCGTGCACGAACACCGGGTAGAGCACTCGCAGTAGCTCGTTCTGATGGTCGGGGAACGGGGGAGAGAAGACATGGGAGGAGTGGGGCGGATGGAGTGGGGAGTTTAAAGAAAAGCCTCAAAGGGGCGTGCGCGAAGCCTCAAAAGGGGCGTGCACGAAGCCTGAGAGAGCATGCGCAGCAGGTCATTCAGGCGGGACGGGAGGGTGTGGTGTGGGGGGAGAGGAGCTGCAAGATGGGCTGACAGGTCGGTGAGAGCGAGGAAAGGATGTACCTTGTACAGGTCTAGGGAGGAATGCACCCACGCACGAAGCTTCCGGTAGCCTTCCACATAGCATGCTGGCGCCTTCTCAGACCTGGAAGAGACAACCCCGAAAGAGACACGTGGCGCTTCTGAAACCAGTCAAAGCCATGACTCGGAAGCCTCTGTATGGACAAGACGACACAGTTATTGACGCTAACGAAAACAACGGTTCGAATAATGTCGCGGTTAGGGTTAGGGTCCGCTGTGGCTTCCCACCTGCTGTATAGCATAATCTGATTGGCTAGATTCTTGTCCAGCTCAGCAGCTGCGGCCTTCCCGCCAACCGTAACGAGCGCATCGAGCGTCTGCGTCTTAGAGTCGTCTTTAAACGCCAGCTCAGCATTCTTGTAGCCCTTGCGACGCAGGTACGCCAGCACCGCTCGCTCTATCGCCTCCTCCTCCATGGCGACCGACTTTTAAAGCCTTGATCGACCACGCGAGAGACTATTATATAGTAGTGTACGAATGAGGATGATGTTGATGCCGATGTGAGATAACTGACGAGCGAAATCGAACAGAACTGACGAGGCGGCAGCACGAAAGGAAAGCATATGTGAAGGAGGGATTCGCAAGGGAGTGATCCGAGGCAGTGTTGAAGTCCAAAGTTGCGATAGAGAGATGGTTGGGTTAGGTACAGAATTTGCGTATCCACTTGCAATAATAATAAAAATTCACTTCAGATTCACAAGCCGTTTCTTTCTTCTTCCTCCTCGTTCTCAAGCCTTTTATCCAAATCCTCAATGGATGCTTGTAGCTTCTTCCGCAAAGCCAACATTGAAATCCCAACCTTCCCTTCGACCCTCGCAACCGTGGCCTTCCCCGCATCCCACACACTCTCTCGAGCCATGGCCCGCACGTCTGGATGCCACGTCATCACAGCCTCATTCACAACTGCTTCCAAGTCCTCATGAGCCACGTGGGTATCAAGCATCAAGTCCCGCAATTCCGCAAACACACGAGCGGCAAGCACATGGTATGGAACAGCAGTAGCCTCTTCGTCCCTTGCTTCCTCACTCGTGCCCGCGACATTGCCTGGCTCTGCTTGTGCTGACTTGTCGCACGCAGGCTGTTGCTGACGTGGAACCTCCTGCTGACGTGGCAGTGGAGTGCTGTTGGGAGGCGGCGCGGGCGGGTCCGCATGAGCAGCAGCACCTGCATCATTCACATGAGCCGTCGCAGCACGAGAGGGAGCCGGATCACCGCCTGTTCTCTCTGCCTCTGCAACCAGTCGTGGCAGGGGGCAGCCAGGGATATTGCTGCCACGTTGAGGCTGTTGTTCCTCACGCACAGCGGAGCCATCTTCAGAGCGACGCTCAGAGCAATGCTCAGGGCGGCTCTCAGGCGCCATGGGCATGGGCAGTGCTGTGACCTTGTCAGTGCACTGCACCGTCGTTTCGGCGCATGGCACAGGGTCACGAGGGGGGCATGGAACGGGATTCTCGAGTGCGCATGACACAGGGCCGTCAGGTGAGCATGGCGTGTGCTTGTGAGGAGGTGGAGTGCTCATTACCCCGTCTGCTCCCCTTGCCCCTCCACCACCACCACTTGCGCTGCTCCCCTGCCGCATCTCCTGCCTCCCCCCCTCGTCCCCTCTCTCACTGCCTCGTTGCAACATTTCCTCACATGCCTTCGCACCTGATGCCTGCTCTCCCGACGTTTGCTCCCCCCATCTCACCTTCTCCCCCACATGGCCCCCCTCATTCTCCCCTCCATGCTGCCCCTGTGCCACGCATGCTCGAGCATTTCCCCCCTCGCACTCACCACTATCCCCTGCCTCCTTCCCTCCTCGACTCTGCCCCTGTGCCTCACTCCCCGCCCCTGACACGTCTGCTCCTCTGCACCTCGCCTCCTCACGCCTCTCACCGTTGCTTGCCCTGTCATCTGGTGCTGGTGCTGGTGTGAGTGCTGGTACTGTTGCTGGTGCTGCTGCTATTGATGATGCTTCGGCTGCTGCTGTTGCTGTTGCTCTTGATGCTGCCGTTGCTGGTGCTGGTGCTGGTGCTTCTGCTGTTGCTGTTGCTCTTGCTGGTTGTGCTGATGTTGACGCGTCTGCTGTTGTTGTTGCTGCTGCTGCTGGTGCTTCTGCTGCTGTTGCTGCTGCTGTTACTGCTCCTGCTGCTGGTGCTGCTGCTGTTGCTGCTCCTGCTGCTGGTGCTGCTGCTGTTGCTGCTCCTGCTGCTGGTGCTAATGCTGTTTCTGCTGATGGCGCTGCTGTCGCTGGTGGTGCTGATGTTGGTACTTCTGCTGTTGCCGTTGTTGAAGCTGCTGCTGGTTGTGGTGCTCCTGCCGATTGTGCTTCGACTGGTGCTGGTGCTGGCGCTGGTGCAATGGCTGCTGCTGCTGAAGGTGCTGCTGCTGGTGTTGCCAATGGTGCCGCTCCTGCTGCTCCTACTGCAGCGTGGGGGCCAGCTGCACCTGCTGATGTTGCTAATGGCGCGAGTGGCGCTGGTGCCGCTGGTGCCACGGGCAGTGCTGGTGGCAGCGGCTCACAGAGAGGGGCTGCGACGGACCTGCGCGCGCTGCCACCAACGTGCGGGGAGGCATGGACGGGCGGAGAGGCATGGACGTGCGGAGAGGCACGGACGTGCGGAGAAGCACGGACGGGCGGAGAGGCATATACGAACGGAGAGGCATGGATGGGCGGAGAGGCATGGATGGGCGGAGGGACACGGACGTGCGGGGAGTCACGGAGGTGCGGGGGGGCCTGACCGGGCGCAGGATGAAACGGTGCTGGCGCATACAGGCACGGGGGTATGCGCACGAATGCTTGTGCGCCCTCACACCCACCGCGTTGCAGCGCCACCTCCACCATCTCTCGCTTCACCTCCTCCCTCGCCCTCCTGATTCCTCCGCCTCCCCCGAATGTCTCGCGCGCGCCACAGCCATCCCGCGCGCCACCGCCCCCCCCGGCACTTTCCTCGCTATCAGCGAATCCCCCCCTCGCCTGCCTTTCCGTCGCTGCCTCTGCCTCCCTTCCCCGCGCCTCCCATCCATGTCTTTCTTTCCCCGCGTCCCCTTGCCCCATCTTCGCCCCTCCCGCTCCCCCGCCCTCCGCCATAATCGTGCTTGATTCCGCTGCGCCTCGCATCCGTTTCGTCGCGCACTGCGTCGGATACCATATCTGCCTGGCGCTACCGACAAAAAAGCCCGCAGCGCTCTCGTCCTCGGCATTCCCTGAGTCTACACTTGCCAGTCCGCTGCAGTCAACATCCACCTCCTCCGCGTCCCCCCGCTTCCGGTTGTGCGGGGAAGGTTCCCCGCGACTATGGTCTAGTTCCGCATCGCCAGGCATTCTGATCGGACGCTCACAGTGCTCGCGGGTTTCGCACACTCAGGGCCGGCAGGAAATGACGGCAAACTACCCGACACGGAGCTTTCTAGAGATTTCAGCGGAAGGAGTATGCACTGATTATATGAAAAGTATACACCGAGTGAGCAAGCATATACCCCATAACGGTCGTAACCGCGCGTGAGGAACAGAGGGTGAACTACTGTTCCAGATGAGATAATCTAAGGGCGGGAAATGCTAGCCCTCCTCTTGGACCATAGTGCAGCGAAAGCACTTGTCCACTTCCAACTCTTGCCGACCACTTTGATCTTCCCCAACATGTTCTGCTCCTCCGAGAAAATTTTCCGATGCCGCTTGTGGCTGGCTGCGCCAAACTTCCGGGTGTATATCCGTGCATGTTGCCTGAATGCGAACTCAATCTTGTGAAGTACTCGGTTCGTGCTAAATTTCTGCCCGCGGAAAACAGCTTCGCACCGTTCGACCCACAGCTGATGAAATGCGATGGACGTGAGGGTCAGCTCCGGAAATGCTGAGCTGGACCCCGTTTTCCGGAACAGTAAGTCCCCGAGCGTGACAGTTGGGCGGTTAGGATTCAGCATGCGCAGAGCGCGCCTGAGAGCCGAGGTTACAGTCTGTATTCGAGGACAGAGGAGGAGGCAGTGGTCCAAGGTCTCCTCCCCCGCGCAGTAGGGACAAACCGGTTTTCCGCTTAGGAACGCAAGCCGCTCCCCCACCTGCAAATTCAGGCCGTGGATGCGGAGGAGAACGTCACGTGGACGGCTGGGCACCGCCAACGAGTCCCGTGACGAAACCACCCGCTTCCAGTTGATTGGCCTCCCCCATCTTCTCACCCACTTCTCACGCTTGCTCGATTCCTGGTACACCCCTTTCCAGCACTCCCTCATCCTCCTGATGGGAATCACCTCCCCACCCTCCAGAATGTTCAGCGGGGGGTTAGTGGTAGCCGAGCGGGGAGGGACCGAGGCAAAACCCGGCTGCTGCAGCCATGGCGCTGGTAAAGTGGTCAGCGCCTTCACCGCCAATCTTGCTGGACCGCTACCACCGAGATGCTGCGACAGCGTCCGTTGCTGCTTGAGCGCGAGATCACCGCTAACATCCACCTCCAGCAGATCGCCGACCCGCACCTTCCATAGGCCCTTACTGTCCTTTTGACCGCCGATCGGTGTTTGCAGCAGCGATGCTCTGTTAAAAACCAAACGTTCCTTTAAAATCTCCTCTCTGTTGGCCGCCGCAGGCCGGACACAGAGCGGTGAATTAATAAAACTCTCGCACGTCTGCTTCCATCTGGTGCTCCTCCCCTCCCAATGTTTCAGCAGGTTAGCGTGCGAAGAGAAGGTGTCAGCGCCCAAGGGCAGATCGGCCGCCTGCCTCATGATCTCCTTCTTCATGGGGTTCCGCTCCGTAAGATAAAGACCCACCCGCCTGGCAGCAAGGCAGGTGATCACAATCTCCGGGTCCTTTACTCCGATGCCGCCAGCCTCCCTTGGGGTATACAACAGCGTCCTGCTCCAAAGAATGAAGCCCTTCACCGTCGCCACCCGATTGCCCGACAGGAAGCTCTGCAGCAGCCTGGAAATCTCATCCCAGATGACCGAAGGTGGGGGGTAGATTTGCGCTTGAAAAGCCAGTAGCGGGGTGATGTAGCTGTTGACCACCGTAGCTCTTGCCGATAACGTGAGGTATTTCAACTGCCACTTCGTTAATTTCGGGAACCTCGGGGAATGAAGCGGCAAATACTGAGCTTGAGAAGCAGGAAAATATGATGAGGGCGTGTCATGAATGCAGCGGGGAGCGATTCTGTGCGTGGCAGAGGGGATCCGCTTCATAAACGTCCGTTCGGGTATATTTTCCAGATGCGCATACATGGCGCGTCCTCATTATAATCAAGACCAACTCTTACAACAAAAATAAATGGCAATACATCCTTCACATTACAATTCACGTGGACTTGTTGGGAGTGTGCGGCTTTGCAGCTGCCCGTCTCTTGAAGTAGCTGGGCACGAGCAGTGGCAGGCACTCATTGCACCCGTGCACGCGCGGAATGCGCCCCGCTAGCATTTCCGAGCCATGAGGCAAAGGCGGCCCCACCCCCTCGGGTAAAGCCAGGGCCTCCCTTGCATTTTCCTGGTCTAGTTCGATTCCACACCCCAGGCAGCGCAGCGGGTCCGTGGTGGAGGCGTCAGGCAGGAAGGGGAGGAGGGAGGACGTGGCTGCGAAGGGAGGGGGAGGTGCGGACAGCGGCAGGAAGGTTTGGGGTTGGACCGGGATGGAGGGTGGGAAGGGAGGGGTGGCAGGGAGAGTGAGGGAGGGGAGAGTGGAGGAGGAGAGGCTACGTTTGGAACCGGCATAGATGATGTTGCCCCCTGCTGCCTTGCTTTGGATAGCTGCGGAAGGCGGGGGGAAAGTGAGAGGATCCGTTGACCCCTTTGACACTGTTGACTTTCTTGACCCCCTTGACCGGGCAGAAGGTCCCGCTGCTCCTGCACTGCCGCTGCTACTGCTGCTGGCGGCACCGGCGCTGATTGCTCCTCTGGGCGTGACGCAGAGGGGAGGTGAGGAGGGCGTTAGAGGAGGCGTGAGGAAGCGGAATGGTATGGCAGGCGATGGGATGGCAGGTGGGATGGCAGGCGACGGGATGGCAGGCGACGGGATGGCAGGCGACGGGATGGCAGGCGACGGGATGGCAGGCGACGGGATGGCAGGCGACGGGAAGGGCGCTGGCACGGTGGTGGGCGGAAAAGGCATGAAGTTTCCTACCAGGGTGGTGCTGCTGAAGGGTGACAAGGAGGGGAAGAGCGTGCGAGCAGACAGCGCAGCAGCAGCAGCTGAAGCAGCGGCGGCGGCTGCAGGTGCATTCGAGGGAAAGGAGGCGAGGGAGCGAGGCATAAGACGGAAAGGGTCTTCAAGCGACTGGATGGTGGGGAGGGTGAAGGGGAGCGGGTGCAAGGGGCGGGGCAAGCTGTGCTGCAAGCCCATATCGCGCACTGAGGGAGTGCCCGACACGGTGTGGCGGCGCGCAAACAGCTGCTGCACCTCTGGCGCCACAGCGGGCGCCACAGCGGGCAGGTGCTGTTGATTCGCTGCAAACTGCCGCGCCAGCAGCTCGTGCACGGCTGGGGCAATGCCCGGCAGGTGGGCGACGAGGAACGTGGTGGTGCGCGTGGGCGCCCAGGGGTCAAAGATCGCCCCTCCTGTGCGCCCTGCACATGCTGTTCCCCCTGCTGCTGTCACCGGGGCTTGCTTTCCGCCCCCGCCACTAGCAGTGCCCCCCCCGGCCGCCCTCGCTGGGTTGCACAGCGCTGCTGCTCCGCTGCTGCTGGGTCCCCCCATCACCGCCTCCGTCCCCCGCTCCTCCACCCTGCCATCCCCGTCTGCCTGCCCCTCCGAGCCCCCAGGCACTTCCGCGTCCACTGCTTCGCCGTCCCCTTCACACGCGCCCCCCTGCATGCTCGTGTGACCGCTCGAGGCACCACACGCCACGCTTTCCCCCCCTGCTGGCCCTCCCCTTGCTCCACCCTGCCATGCCTCCACGCCCTGCCCACCCCTCTCCTTCATCTCCCCCTCACGCGTCTCCTCATTCCGCATCCCCCTCTCCCCCGCACCCCATCCTGCTCGGAGCGCTTCCATGCGGAAGGCCTCGGCCAATGAGACGGCTGCTGGGCAGGCGGAAGGGGCGGTAGCTGCGGGTAGCACAGGCGGGAGGCGGGACTCGGGCAGAGGTTCATGGTTCACAGAAGCGCCCTGTCGCTGCCCCTGCTGCTGTTGCTGGTGGAGCGGCTTGGCGCGCTTGGGGCGCGAAGGGAAGTCGAGGGCGGGCAGGAAGGGAGCATCCATGGCGCCGTCAGCCATGGCGGCGGCAGGCGCGGCTGTCGTAATGGCGTCCGCAGCGCGCGCAGCGGAAGCGGGTGCCGCGGAAAGGCGGGTACTGGGGGCGAATGGGGAGGTGATAGTAGAGGCAAGAGGCAGGGTGGGAGGCAGGGCGCGATTGGCGCCGTGAGATGCGGCCATGGCGGTGAGGCGTGCCATGGCGGCGTCGTGCTCTAGGCGATCCAGCTCCATCGCCTGCATCAGCGCCGCGTCCGCCGACGACGGTAACGGCGCTGCGGACCACGTGGCGCGTCGGGAGAGGCGCACGCGGGGGGACGGAGCCGCGATTTCAGGCGCCGCAGCAGGTGAGGCTGCGTCGCCGCCAGATGCGGCTGGTGCTTCCGCTGCAGCAAAACCCAGTTGGTGCGGCGGAGGGTCCGCCATGCTCTCTCCCGGCGCCTCGCCATCCGCCACCGTGATAGCCGGCGGCTCCGCCACGCGCGGAGCCATGTTCGGCGCGTCGGGCGCGGGCGCGACCACGGCGGGCGCCTCGGCCTCGCTCATCATGGCGGTGCGCCGCAGCAGCTCCTCCGCGCATCGCATCTCCATCTCCACCGCCGCTTCTATGTCCGTGCCCATCCCCGTGCCCGTGCTCATCCCCATCCCCATGCCTACACCCGCGCTCATATCAACGGCCATGTCACTGTTCATGCCCAAGCCAGTGCCGCCGCCGCTCATCCCCGCGTCCATCCCCATCACGCCCCACGCCGTGTCCCACGTGCCCCAGGCCCCCTCCACGCCCTCCATTCCCCCGCCTCCGCCGGCGCTCTTCAAACCCCCGTCCACCTCCGCGCCCTCCATTTCCCCCCCTGAGAGCTCCAGCTCCCGCGGGAGGCCCTCGTCCGCCGCTTGCGCGGAGATCCCCGCTGATGCATTCGCTGCTGCTTCCGCTCCCCCGCCCCCCGCCCCCTGCGCTACTTCTACCAGGGGCTCCGCCGAGGGGAACGCCCATGTTGCGCCTGCCTCCGCCGCGAACGGCGCACCGCCGCTGGGGGCGGCCATGGGCTCCCCCTGACCCTCCAGTCGCCTCCGCCACCTCGACGCGCCGTCGTCGCCGTGACGGTCAGCGCCCGCAACTGTCACAAACCCCGCCGCCAGCGCCGCGCTTGTCGACGCCGTCCACGGCGCTGCTAGCGTGGCTGCCGAGTCGCCCTCCCGGCGCGCTGTCGCCGAGGCTGCAGTTGACGTGCCAGCGGTCCCGCCGGCTCGTTGCTCCTGTGGCGGCAGCATCAACGACGCGGCGGGAAATGCGCGCAGGTGAGCATCAGCGCGGAGGGAGGCGTCATTCGCGCTGGGGGTTAATTGGGCGGAAGGCGGAAAGTCAGTGGAGGCGAAGAGGCCGTGGAGGCGGTCAGGGAGCGACACGAGACCGTGCACGGGACTCGAACCGCCCGTCACGGCAGCCAACACCTCGGGAACGACGGGAAGAAAGCCCGCGGTGGGAAGGCGATGCGCGCTCGCGGTGCCCCACACGCTCGGAGCCGGCGCAATGGGGAGCGGCCCCGCAGGCCCGCCAGGCGGGTCTCCGCGCAGCGAGCGCGCGGGCAGGCGGCGCTGTGCGGAGTGGAAGGGGGGGAAGTTTCCGCGGACGGGATTCAGTTCTGCGGCACTCCAGAGTTCGTCGAGCGACGACGCGTCTATAATCCGCTGCAGATTGGCGTCGAATGACGGCCGCGCCGCGGCGATCTCAAGGTGTGCTGCGCTTATGCTGGTGCTGCCACTCGTACTAGCAGTGCCAGCACTACTTATCAAGGGCCAGCGATCTCTGGACACGGAGTTATGAACAGTCGTCGCGGCGGATACGGTCGTGAGTGGACTCGGCATCGGGTATCGGAAATCAACGGTCATGAAAGACCCGCTGGAAGCAGAGGTTGTATCGCCGGGAATCACGGCGTTGCTCGCCTCGTGCGGTGATCTTACGGTTCGCCGCATATAGCGGTCCATGGCGAGTACGCGGTTTGCGTCGCTCATCAACCGCTTGTAGGCTGTTCTCTACTTATTCGACTGCACCATGGGTCATTATTAGAGACTCTCCAACGCACGACGTCGAACCGCGAAGAACGGATTATTGCTTGTACTCTCAGCAAGGCTGATGCTACTGCTTGGATCAGAACTTTCGAATGAAGCTGGGCTGCGAATTGTCGACGTGTATTGACACTCGAGCACGTTTTAGACGAACGCTTCGAGGAAGGTAGCATGCGACACGCCGCGGATGCGTCTGTGCTGCTCGCGGTGGATCAGAAACTGTGCTAACGGCTTTGGGGGACCAAATGACGAGGGTACAAAACGACCAAAGAACGCGGTATTCTTTCGCTATCATAAGATAGCAGCATCTTGAGCAGCACTCAGCCCATCTGCGCATTTGTCCGTTGTGAAAGTTCCTATTCCTATGCCTGGCGATGTCCTTGAATAAGACGTTCACCTAAGAGCTTCTTAGCTCCTGTGCCGTCCATCTTGAAGCCCTGCTGTCCCGAGAGGGGCAGCGGGAATGAGTGAGGGCGATTTGCTGATTGTCCCTCGGCTCAAGGATCGCCCCTCAGCAGCAGGCACGTCCGTGTGGTCGATCAATCGGCCGTGCCCTAGTGCACTAGAGTCGAGTCATCAATCCCTGACAGCTGAGCTGAGCGCCATGAATTGGGCTGTCGAATTTGCTGAGGAAAGGGGTAGTGCCTTCTATATTGAGCTTTCAGGACACTGGACTGTACCGCGCTGTAACACTTATTATCTCGCTTTAGCGCACTGCACCATTACTGTGCGAAAACACTGTGAATACCAATCTGGGATTTATTGGGCTTGTGGCGACAGTAAACGCAGCGCGCCCAGCCACACTCAGCGGGGAAATGCGGCGTGCACATGCTTGGTGCGACCAGCGACGATGGTGTTGGCGACGATGTTGGCTGTGCCTGCCTGCCTGCCAGCCTGTGCGTCAAAATTCGAAATGATCCGACCAATACAGAAAGCCTTGCTGTATTCCCGCCGAATTCACAACTTTGTAGATGCCACAGGTTACACACCTTTTGAAAATTCCCAGTCAACGGTGTACACTAAACGCCCTAACTTTATTCCATTCTGTGGTACTGTAATGTTGGTCTGAAGGTGGTTCCACGCCAAGAGCATGACCCGGCGATTCAAGCCTAGAAAGAACAAGTTGTGGGATTACAGGTGACAGTAACTAAACGTTCACGTAAGTTTAGGGACTACGTCAAGCTATTGGCGCACACCTACTGAATTTGCCAGTAAAGAAGACGCTAGTCTACCTTCGCTGTCTAGCGACTCTAGACCAGGCCTGTCGATTGACGGGCATATGCCCTTAATGCCCTGAAATTCCGGGCTACTTTTGCTCCAGCTCGACTGCATAAAGTGTTAGGATCGCCCTGCACCCGTGCCACTAAGTGCTTCGTTCGACCCTTCCCCGGATGCGTTAAGTGCTCCAACCAGGCCTTCCCCACCCACAAAGTTTTGATTTCCGGTTCTAGGATCCCCCCCCCAATAAATTCTGCCTGACCCCCCCACTCCCCCCCCCTTTCTCCTTAGGTTGCACGAGAGCACGCCAAGGGGTTTTTTCCCTTAGCATTTTTCCCGTGTTTGTGATATCTCTAAGTCAGCTTTGGAGCAGCCGAACTTTCCCTTAGCTAAGATAGTGTAAGTGCAAGCCCGGATATCAAGTTTTCACTTTGGCCTGCGCCCGTGACCGTTAAGGGCGCCAAAACACTCAGCTACGGCCAAAACAGGGTCAGATAGGGAGGAGCTGGGGACTCCCAAGTATGGGCCCCAGGAACTTCGACAGGCCTGCTCTAGACCTCCAGACGATGGGCGAAACCTTGACATGTTGGGAGCATCGTATTTTTTGTGGCACGCGTGGAGAATAGTGCGATGCATCAAAAGGCCCGAATCATTTTCTCAGCGTCTGGAAGTCTTCCTTCCGCCAATAGCATGCGCAGGAACCCCAAACCCGTTGCGGATTAATGATAACGAACGGGATTATCACATGGACCACCATCGGCCGATTAGATTTTTGTAGAGAAAACATTCCATGACGAATCTTCAACAGACATCAGATCAGAAACTACATTTGTGCTGCAGTCAGGGCGGAGAACCTCCAGCAAAAACGCACTCTGCTTTGCTGCTGCCACTTCTCTGGCGTCGCAAAGGCAGACTCTGGACTACACATTTGCGACTTCTGCTGGTGGAAACTTGAATTGGTAGGGGCACCTGAATTGTTGCAAGGGCATGCTAAATTCCAGCCTGGCGGATCTTTGCCGCAGCAAATTCGTTAGGACTGCTAGCGTGCTCGTCACGTGATGGACACTTCCATACAATCATACGCAGTAAATGAAGGTTTTCGAGAAGGAAGGTGCGATGAGATCGCACCGATTTCGTCTCACTCTTCACTTCGCTGCGTGTTTGTCTCACTCCACAAGCCAACCTGGTAGTACACTACAGTGCCTCAATTCCATAGATTCGTTAACTTCGAAAGTGGAATTAATTTGTATCGATTTGTTTTTCAGCAGAAAGTGGCACTGGTGAGAATCAAAGTCACTAACGAAGCCGGAGTGGCGTGTTTATGACGCGTTTTTTATGGTGAGTGGGCCAACATTCAATTTTGTTGGTGCCACCGAAGGTTCCAGCGCCGATCGCGGTGGTTATCGCGTTTTTTTAGCCATGACATCCTACCTGTTCGCACAATTCATGTCGCGGCGAGCCAGTGACGTCATGCGGGTTTTCTTTGTGCGGGAAATGTGGGTCGGGGCAGCCGCGGAACCTCTAGCTCCGCTACAAGCTGCGAAAACGGGAATCAGGAGATTGCACCAATCAGTGACATCAGCGACGCCCTTATCCCCCTCCTCTTCATCATCGCGCCGTTTCTCTTGGTTCTTGCCCGCTCTCGCCGGCGCACTGGCAGGCGGAGCGACGGCGGTAGCTGCGCTTCATTCCCCTCATGCGGAAGCGCCTTCCCGTCTTCCACTTCCATCCGCTCAATTCGCGCGATCCGCTATTCCCTTGTCCGCCTCTCCTTTCAACAGTTCACTCGATTCCGCGCCCGCATATTCCACCCACCCCTCCCGGCCGTTATCTCCGCTTGAAGCTACTGTCTCGCCTCGCGCAGGATTCATCCCGCGCTTGGTTCTCACCGCCGATGCTTCCCCAACGGCTATCCCCTTCCCCGGCCCCGACTCCCCGCCTTTGCCCGCGCCCTCCCCGCATGGATCCCTTCCCGCTCCCCGCAGCGTGGTTGAGGGGATCAAACGGCTGCTCCCGGGGGAAGGGGAACCTGGGGGAAAGGCGGAGGCGCAGGGGGAAGGGGGGAAAGGGGTTAAGGATGGGGACGGAGAGTGGACGAAGGAAGTTGAGAGAGGGAAACAGGGGGGGAGTGGGGTAGGGGTAATGGCAGGGACGGGGCAGGGGGAGGCGGATGCGAGGGAAAAAGGGGATGCGGATAGTGGTGGTGTGACGTGTGGGCGGGATTGTTTGTCACGACATGCCATTGCTGACGCGGCTGCAAGGGCAGCGCCTGCTGTGGTCAATCTGACAGTCAGTGTGGGTGAGTGGACAGTGGGAGTCCGCTTGAGTTGGGGGTTGTGCATGCGTGGGTTCATGTACATGTGGCTTGTAAGAACGCACCGTCATGTATCCATCGCCACTCACCTTCCCCTGCACCCTCGCCCTCCTGCCTCCCCCTCTCCCCCCCTCTCCCCCCCCGTTCCCCCCCTTTCTCCCCCATACCCCCGCAGGCAGGGGCATGTTCAGCGGGCAGGCGATGGGGTCGGGCGCCATAATCCGCGCGGACGGGCTCATTCTCACCAACGCTCACGTGGTGGCGGAGATGGTCGACCCCTCCGCCTCCTCCGCGCCCTACTGGAGCTCCCGCGCCACGGTGAGTGATGCTGTGGGGGGGGGCGCTCTGGGGGCACGGTGAGGGACCCCTCCGCCTCCTCCGCGCCCTACTGGAGCTCCCGCGCCACGGTGAGGGGCGCTGGGGGGGGCGCGCGTGGCAGGGAGAAGAGGAGGGGGGGTGGGGGGGAGCACGGTGAGGGGCGCATGGGGTACGGTGAGGGGTGCTGGGGCGAAGGTAAGGAGAGCTACTGTGGCCGAGATGGTCGACCCCTCCGCCTCCTCCGCGCCCTACTGGAGCTCCCGCGCCACGGTCAGCGCCGCTTGGGGGGGGGGAGGGGAGAGGGGGGGGAGGGGGCTGGGGACAGGTGAGGAGCGCTGGGGAGCTGGAAGCAGATTGAGGGGCAGAGTAAGGGATATGGTGGCAGGTTAAGGGGGGGGAGCTGGGGACGGGGGAAACGAGGCTGTTGTGTGCAATGGGAGCCTGGCCAACACACTGTGAACAGTGCGCATAGTGTGTTGGCCAGGCTTGTCCTGTGGCCCTACTGCAGTCCTCATCTCCACTCACCTCTGCTATATAGTGGTATGTGAGCTCACGCATGTGCCAACTGCTGCCTGCCCTGCCCCTCCGCTGGTCCTTGATAGCAGCTGCAGGTGACGCTGCAGGACGGACGCACGTTTGACGGCCACGTGCTGAGCTTTGACTCGCTCTCTGACATCGCCCTCGTCAAGGTGCTCCCACACCTCCTTTGTCAACGCGCTCCAAGCCTTGCTCCTTCTCCCACCCACCCGTCCCACCACTCACCTACCTCCCGCGTCCATTCCGCTTGTGCTGCCCCCGTCACTCTCTATCTCCACGCTGTCACAACCTTACTCCTCGCCATAAGAGCGCTGTGCTCCCCAAGCGAGTGGCTGTCCACCCCTGCTCTCTGCCTCCCAACCTGCTGCATCAGGTGTCGGCGCCGTCGCCGCTGCCGGTGGTGAAGCTAGGGTCGTCCAAGGCACTGCGCCCGGGGGACTGGGTGGTGGCGCTGGGGTCGCCGCTGCACCTCTCCAACACCGTCACTGCTGGCATCGTCAGGTGCGCGTGCGCACACCCTCACTTCTGCTGCCTGCCCGTTTTTCACTGCTGCTGTCTGGAATGAGCGTTGTAGGACAGACTTGGGGCAGATAGGGTTACAACATGTTACCATCTCGTTACAAACGCCGTTTCTGCTGTTTCTCTTCCCGCCCTCCCGCGGTGGCGTGCAGTTGTGTGGATCGCAAGGGCACAGAGCTGGGACTGAGAGGAGGGCGAATGGATTACATTCAAACAGACGCAGCCATCAATGCGGTGTGAACATGCACAGCATCAGCAACCCCATGCACACGTGCACCACAGTTCCTGCCATACCATTACCATCACACATGCCTAGCTTCCCAGACCATGGGTTGCTGTGTCCAGGTCATGCGCATACCATACCTCTGAATCCGTGTACTCATGCCCCACTGGTGAAGCCCGTCTCACAAACCATGAACGGCACGTGTGTGTCCGTGTGTGTGTGACACGTGGGGGAGCAGGGCAGCAGTCATTTTCATAGGCGCTAAAAAAATAGCCATGTGTGTGCATGTGACACGGGGGCGAGCAGGGCAACAGCGGGGGTCCGCTGGTGAATCTGGACGGGGAGGTGGTGGGCATCAACAACATGAAGGCACTGGCAGCTGATGGGGTCAGCTTCGCCATCCCCATTGACTCCGCTGTTCACATCCTCGACCAGCTCTCCCGCCACGGGTCAGTGGGGCTGAATTAACTGAGGGGTATAGAGGGGTAGAGAATGGCATTGGAGGAGAACAGTGGGGCAAGGGGCATGGGGCCAGAGCATCAGAGGGGTCTGTTCCACAATCCCTAATCATATTGCAGTTTACAACTAAATTTGGATGCGTGAGAGGAAGGGCATGTTAAGGTGAAACAGACAGGGTCAGCTTGCTCTCTCTTTCGCTGCGTTTCTTCCCCCCCTCCCCCCGTCTCGTGTCACCCCCCATGTGCAGGCGAGTGGTGAGGCCATTCGTGGGCATCAAGATGTTGGAGCTGAACGCGTCCATTGCAGCCCAGCTGAGGGACAGAGACCCCTCCTTCCCCCCGGTCGATGCTGGCATCCTCGTCCCCCAGGTGACTTGCTCATGTGGGCTCAGGTGTAGGGTGGTCAGGTGGCGTGTGCTCTCAGGTCCATATCTGTAATGCCACTCCATTCCAGCCAGACCCACACTCCTTGGTGTTCTAACTTTGCGTTGCTTGTGCTGTCGTGTTTCCCCCCTTGACCATCTCACCATGTCTTTTGCTCCTCTCCCACGACCTCCTCCTCTCCCCCGCCAGGTTATTCCTGGCTCACCTGCAGCCAGGGGAGGGCTGCAGCCAGGTGATGTGATAGTGGAGTTTGCCGGGCAGCCAGTGACCTCCTCCCGCCAGGTGCTGGACTTGCTGGGAGACAAGGTGGGCGTCAAGGTGCCCCTGGTCGTCAAGAGAGCCAATGGGAAGACAGTCACTCTCACAATTGTCACTGAAGAGGCCACACCTGACATGTGACGTGACATGACCTGTCCCACACCACTCTCCTCCTTTTTGCATGCCTCATGCCAAGGAGCTGAGATACTATCCAATAATCCAACTTTTCCTAGCTGGGTGGTCACTTTCTCTGTGGTGATAGTGTACAGGCTTTATCAAGTGACTTGAAAGCAGCGAATGCTTGATACCGGTACTGCTTTGTCATGTATCTCTGTCGTCTGCATCTGTCAAGGAAAGAAACCAATAAGCTACACAACTATTGAACAGGGACCTTATAGAGAGAGAGGTATAGGCAACCAACCTGCACACAGCGTGCGTACAGGGACAGGCTGTGCAGAGTGCAGAGTGCATAGCGGAATCAGACAGGACAGGAGCTTGAACGAACTTGGAAATAAGGGAACGATTTGGAGATGGGCTGTGAGCGTGTGAGCGTGCGCGGCAGTGCGGGGCGTGTCAGACCCTGGAGTCAGAAACGGACTCAGAGGAGGCAAACATGTGCTTCACGCGCGACAGAATGGAGTCCTGGTTGGGGTCGTACGGGTGCTCCTTGCTGGGGATCTCCAGCACGGCGGGTATGGGCTTGTTGTAGCTGTCGATGCTGTACCGAATCATGTTGGCGATCTGCACGGCACAGGGACAATGCTTGAATGGCGTTGATGAGGCTAAATCGGAACTACAGCGAGATGAGCGTATCATGCGAGGCGACCCACATATTGGCTGATAAGAATGACGGCGACGTCCTCCCTGTTGCTGAACTCTTTAAACGACTCCTCGATCTGTCGCACAGGGGTCTCTGAAAACACACGAGCAGAAAACCTCCTGATCAGCACCAAATCGAAAATAAACTGACAGGTGCTGACTCAGGGAACAACTTCCGGTCGCGAAAAGCTCACTGGAGTCGACGACAAGATAGTTCTTCCGTCGCCGTACGTCCATGTGACCCACTCCGGCCAGCAGAAATCCGGTTATCGTGTCCTGCGCATGTGAATCAAATAAACGCGAAAATGTCATTTATCGTGGTCTTCTACCCACCTACGCGAACTCGGTGTGAGAAAAATGACGCGAGCATTAGAGAGAGGGATCGCTAGTCCAAGTTCCCCCTACCTCATCTGCGATCATGGCTATCAAGTAACCATCTGGTCTAGACGCAGCAATGGCCGAGGCGGTGGCAGCCATTTTCGAGGGAAGAAAAGCGGAGTCGCCTTCACACCACCTAGCGCGATAAAATAGCTACGGAGGTTAACCAAGCCGCTGTCGGCCAGGCTGCGTGCGTCTGCTGTTCAGGAAGAATGGTGTCCTGGCTGCTGACTATTGCACTAACTTAGAACTAGGGCGGGATAACCTTCGATGCAATGCTCTGCACGCGACAGAGTAGTGCAGCTGTTTCAGAAAATAATGAAAATTGGGTGCTGTAGATGCACAACGCATTAGATGAATGAAATGGAAAAGCTGCAGGCATTTGTTTGTTTCAAAGTAAAAGACATACCAGCAAAATTCATTGCAAGCCCTGGTACAAGGATGTCAATCAGGTGTAACAAACGGGATGTGTAGGAAGAACACTGCATGCATTACCAATTCATCACAATTCGGATCCAGCGCCTGGCTAGATTAGTCTAGCTTCAGCGACGGTGTTAGGACTGGTGTCAAGCGTCAGTTCAAATCACTCATCTCCCAAGCCTCAGCCACCTTATAGACCTGCTTCCACTGCCAACCGGTGACCCTCTTGCCGAACCACTTTCCTTCTCTTCCACGGCCACCGCACCTGCCTTAGCTCCATCCTTACCTGCTACAAACACAACATCACTCCCTCCACCATGCTTCTTTCCGCCATCCATCAACTCGTCCATTCCATCTCCCCGTTTCTGCCTTCTCCTCCCAATCTCCACCCATTCCGCACACATCTCCCCAATCAACTCCCCCATCAGCACCTCCTCCAATCGAAACACAACATCTGGCACCTCATCATCCACAGCCTTATCCAGGGGAATCCACGTGTCCAGCCCCTTCCACAAGTCCCTTCGTGCCAGGTCATCAAGGGTGTCAAACACGTCATCAGACATGGGCACAGCCCACGAGTGGATTTCTGCCCACACCTCCTGCAGCAGCCGCCGCCCGGCTGGCCGTTTCCGTAGGGGTGCAGGCCGGGCGGCATGCAGGTGCTGCCAGGGTTGGGAGGGCAGGAGGAAGGGCGCGAGGCGGCGGCCGAGAGATTCGTTCACCGCGTCAAAGAGGAGGCGGCGCTGGCGCCGCTCGTCGGGGTAATTAGCGGGGAGGGCTGGTGAGGAGAAGGCCGGCGCTGCGTCTGATGGCAGGCTCTCACTCTCCGACAACCCATCTGCTGCTGCTGCTGCTGCTGCTGCCTCTGGCGATGATGCGCTCGGACCTCCCACCTTACCCCCCGCTGATGCTGATTGCCCCGTGACGGGCCCCAGGGGGGTAGCAGGGTCAACAATGATGCCATCCAGCGACAGGAACTCCGCCTCCAGCACTTCAAACACCGCCGCACTGATGGGCGCAGCTGGAGACGCCGCGGGGGGGAGGGAGCGGTTGGCGAAGCCAGCAGCAACGAGCACGTAACGAATGTACTCTAGATCCTCCTCCATGCCCGCTGGTGACGGCACAAAGGCGAGCGTGCCCAGATCCACTGTGCTTAGGGAGTCCAGTGGTGGCAGCGGGAGAGGAGGCGGGGGCGCTGAGACGGGCGGTTGGAGTGGGCCTGCTGCGGGGGTGGCGGCGGTGGTGAGAGGAGGGGCAGGAGGAGGGTTTGCTGGTGCGAGCAGGGACGAGTCGGGTGCCTTGTCTCCTGCACAGCGAGTGTGGATTGGGAGGAGAGGAGAGATCGGAAGAAAATTTTAGGAGGCAAAATTCAGGGCACAGCAGGAGGATAGTGAATAGAAAAGCGTCACCCATGTGATGATAGGAAGCATGATGCTAGGAGGTCCATCAATCTACGCACAGTGCAGCGACATACGTCACCAGCTGACACATGGCACAACACGGCAGGCATGGTGCACTGATACGTCCCCTTCACAGTGAGAGACGGTGAGGCAGGCACCTTGTGTGTGCGAGAGGGGCAGCGCCTGTTGGGCAGGCATGCAAGGCTCATCGCCCCACACGCGCTCTGCTTCCCCCCAGGCTTCTGCCTCTTCCTCTGCACCTCCAAGCTTCTCCATGTCCTCTTCAGCTTGCAGGTCCTCTGTTTGGCTGGCATCCGCGGAGAGCCAGTGGGCGTGGGCGTCGGCGAGTGCGTGCATGCTTGCGTGCAAGGCGAGCCCGCCCTCCTCCTCACCTGCATCGGTTGAGGGGGACCCCTTGCTCAGCGCCACATCCAGAGTTGTTACCGGACTGCCCCCCGCCGCCCCCTGCTGCTGCCCCTGCTGCCCCTGCCCCTGCCCCTGCTGGAAAAGGCTTGGCTGCGACGGCAGCTTCTGCTGCCTCTGCTGCACCGCCTGCTCCTCTGCTCGCGTGCCCACATGCCGTTGCTCCTCTTCATCCTCCAAACTCTTTGCTTCCGTCTCCTCTGATCGGTCCTCGTCCTCCTGCTGCAACTCGACTTGCTGCTGCATATGCTCCTGCAACTCGACTTGCTGTGGCACCTTTTCATGCTCCAGCCAAACTTCCTCCTCCTCCTCCTCCTCCTCCTCCTGCTGCTGCTGCTGCTGCTGTGGTGGCGACACGTCATCGTGCTGTGGTCGTCGCTGCGACCACGGCTGCCGCCACGCAGGCTTCTCCTCATGCTGCTCGTCCTCTCCCGCCATCACGTCATCGTCGAAACTCGCACCGCCCATTACGCCACCGCCCGTCCTCTCAGTGTCACCGCGCTGCTTCTCGTTATAAGCACCTCGCTGTGTCATTATCGAGTCAACCTCCCCCTGCTCCGCCTTCCTGCCAGTCACGGCCCCTCGACCTGCGAAAGCACTGGTCGCCCCCTCCACCCCTTGCCGCTGCCCGCTCATGCCATCCCCGCGGACTACAGCCGGCATTCCCGAGGCTCCGGAGTCCCGTTGCGCCGCCTCCCCTCCACTCCGATCGCGCACCGCAATCACCTGCGTCGCGCCTCCCGCCAGCGGCCCCTTCCTGCCGCCGGACAGCTGCAGCAGAAGCGACCGTGCGAGCTCCTTGGCGTCCTTCGTTGGCTGCTGCTGCTGCTGCTGCCGCCTCTCCCTTCCCTGCCCCTCAATGTTCGAACCCCCTGTAGCCCAGCTACCCCCCGCCTCACCCTCTCCGCCCACGCTTCCGTACCCCAGTGTCCGCCCCAGCCGCGCCTTCACATCAAGTCCCCCTAGCCCCGCCTCAGGCGGACGCGCAAGCGCAACAACCATCGGGGGCCACGGGGAGGATGAGTCAGGCTGATGCGCGGAGAGACTGTAGAGGGGTGTTGGCGAGGGCGCGCCAAGGGGCGTGGGAACAGAGGCAGAGGCGAATGCGGAAGCGGCGGAGAAGAGGCCGTCAGTGGCGGACATAAGCTCGGCTGCGGCGGCGGAAGGCGCATACACGTCTGCATCCGTGACGGAATCCGCCAATGTCGCAAGCTCCGCGGCTACGGCACGTTCCGCGGGGCTGACAATGCGCGCCGGTCCCGCGCCCCCCCGCAACATTTGCCCCAACTGCCGACCGCCCTCGTGATACCTGTCCACATCAGCATGCGTGGCAAGTCTAGCGGCTTGCCCGCCGTGGCGCGGCTCAAGAGCCAAACGGCTCTGCCTCGCAGCGTTCGTGGCGTGGACATGACCGTTCCTGGCGGTGGTGGGCCCCGAGCCGCTGTAGCTACCGGAGTCGCTGATCTGGCTGCTGTTGCTCATCGCCTCGAACGCGTCCACTGATCCTTGCCGCGACCCCTCGCCCGCGTCCCCCCCTTGCTCCTCCACCACTCCCAGCACCGAAACGCTTGAGCTCGAATCCGACAGCCGCCGTCCCTGCATCACCGCTAATCCCTGCCTCCCCAGTGCCACGTGTCCGCCATCTCGGGCGTGGTCCGTTCGCCGGGACGGCCGGCCGGGTCCGAGGGGAGGGGAGGAGGGCGGGGAGGAGGTATCCCTGCGCCGAATGAACCGCGGGGAGGTAGGGGGAGACGAGGCGGATGGTAACCGCGCAGGACCGCTCCCCGCAGACCATCTCCGCGCGTCTGCGGAGACCTCAACGCGCTGGCCCTCCCTGCTCCTTGCTCCGCTTGCTCGCGCGAGCCCGTTGGCTGCAGGTGCAGCGGTTCTATTGGGGGAGAAAGATCGGGCTGAACCAGCACGTGGCTCGGAACCCTGCGCCCCATTTCCGCTGCTGCCTGCGGGGGAGACGCGTCGCTGCGAGGGTGGACTGACAGCGCGTGTCTTAGCGAGAGAGGATCGCGTTGGTGCGTAAAGTCGACTGCTCTCCGCGACCGGCATTGCGATTAGGTCTAAGAATCACACAGCACTGAGAACTGACACAGCCTACTCGATATCTTCAACTGTACAGGTGTGTTATATAGGACAGAACATAAACGCCCTTGCGCTAAGACATGGCGGCGTGGTGGACAGCTCTGCAGTCAGACTGAAGTCAGCAAGTTAGTGATCTGTTGTGGCCTCCACTCCACTTCACATGCACTGCGCTGAACCCTTGCGAGCGCTGGTTTTGGTTGGCAACATCGAGGTTGTTCGGCTCGGGGGGAGGGAGGCGCAGAGCAGACCACCTGACCGCAAGAGGTGAACCAGCCTTGGGAATACAGGGGCCCAGGTTTCGTCAAGGCTGTGAAATCGACGGGCGAGAAAGTTTCGAGATTGGTTTTGGACGGGCAGATGACGGGATGGTACGTTCGGCAAGTGGGTGAGTGCAGGTCCGTTTCCTTGGCGCTGTAAAACCGCAGCTGACAACCAGCTTCTGACGTGCGTCAGCCCCGCGGTCGGAACACCCTGGCCGCCTTGCACCATTATAGCTTGCTCCGAAACGGATTCATCAGTCAGTATTCCGCTGCGTGAACCTGACAATATTAAGTGAATATTTACATTGTTTTACTGAAGTAAATCAATTTTACATTCCTAGAGAAGGTTCTTGTGTTCACATCAAGATTCCTTCAAGATTCCTTCAAACGAGTCACGGCACATCCACCGCACCTTGCAGCAGCAATCGGCGCTGCCGTCGGTCGGTGTCGTTTCTTCTACCCAACCCAGCCCTGACCAGCCCCCATCAATCGCCCCGTTCCTGTCAACCCAACCAATTCCTTTCAACTTCTCTCCATGTGATGCCATTTCCTCGTTTTTCGCTCCAATGTTTCGGGATTGCCAGTAATTGGAGAGAGGTGGTCCAAGATCCCACTTTTACCAAGGAGCTGGCTCTCATGTCAGCTCTTCTGTTGAAAGCAATTTTGGCACCAGTTGGTGTTTAAACGCCGTTTACGGGGATACGGGCTGTTATACAGCTGAATTGATTGGATCCAGCAACTTCTTTCGGAACTATCTGCACGACGATGGCGACGCGCCGATGCTTTATTAGAAGCAGACCGGCATGTGCTTTATTCGCGCTATTTATTACTCTTTGTAGTATGACCTGCAATCAGGCGCAGGTCACTACAGAACCGACTCCATCATACCTGCAGCCGCAGGACGGCCGGCCGGCGCCATGGCAGCCGGGTCAGCGGCCGCCATGGATGGAGGGGGGGCTGCCGTTTCCCGAGCGAAACGGCAATCATTCGGATCCGCTGGGCGGCAATCTGCCTTGGGAGGAAGGCCGCGGGCAGGCTCTCGGGTACCAGCCGGTGCCGGGCGCCCAAACTTCTCCGGGCGCCGTGCAGCCGAATCCAGGAGGGCCGAGCGAGTCACCGGCGGATCAGCAGTGGGGCGATCCGGAGGTTCCGCCTCCGCCGTCGCCTCCGCCGTATCAGCCGGTGCCGTTCGCGGAACCGCCTCCCGCGGCGAACGCGAGTGCGCGCATCGAGGATGTGGGCGTGGTGGGGTCGGTGGTGGGCGACGAGCTGCCGACGACGTGCGGCCTGACGGATTACGTCAGAATGTCGAAGCGCTGCCAAGGTGAGACGATGCGATCCGCGAAAAGTGGCAGGGCGTGGATTGCGAACGCCTTATTGCGCAAACAGAAAACGCGCGCCCGTGATTGAAGGGCGGATGGTAACCTCGTGTCGCAAATGTCGGAGTGCCTCGCGGGTCTAGGAGGTCAATGGCTTTCGCGTGCTGGGCATGAGGCGTGCAGCATGTCGCACGGTATTCGCGTGGTCAATTAGGCTCACTCAACTTGAATGCCATAACACAAATAATATAATATTTATTCAGCAGTTACAATCGCATTGACATGTCTTTCAATGTCAAATTACATGTTATTTCATTCACATCCACGTGTCTTGTGAATCTCGTTGACTCGTTTCTTCAATCCCATGATCATGTAACTTCAATCCCAATCGTATGTCGCATGGGATGTGTGGCAGACGGCAAGCGCGAAGTGACCTACGTCAAAGTGCGCAACTGCACGGACGCATTCCCCGACATCCCCATGCGCAACGAACCATGCGGTGAGCACGCATGCATGTCATGTTGCGTGGGCACGTGCCGCATGCGTGGACCATGCTAGGTGGACCCACATGGCATGGATGGTTGGGCCACACGATCATGTGGAGCACGTGACGGTGCTCGTGGTGCTATTGTTGAACCATTCTATGCTCACTCCTACGTGTACAATACACTCCCAGCGCTCCCTGGTTTGATACTCATCCTTTGAGCCAATTGGCCGTCCGTGTGCGCAACCCTCCACCAGTGTGCACACCGGAGGACTACGAGCCAAAGTACTCGGAGAATGGCGGCCAGTGCTACCTCCCTTACGAGGTGACTTTTGAGTGTGCTACCTCCCTCCCCCACCCCCCCTCTCCTTCCAGTGTGCACGCCCGAGGACTACGAGCCAAAGTACTCGGAGAATGGCGGCCAGTGCTACCTCTCTTACGAGGTGACTTTTGAGTGTGCTACCTCCCTCCCCCACCCCCCCTCTCCTTCCAGTGTGCACGCCCGAGGACTACGAGCCAAAGTACTCGGAGAATGGCGGCCAGTGCTACCTCTCTTACATCGCCACCAGTGAGTGTGTGTGTGTGAGACTGATGCGCGTGGGAGTTGGAATGCATGTGAGAGTGAGTGCGCATGAGAGCGAGTCTAGTGATGCAGATGCAGTTGCATATGACTTCTTTAGAAGTGACTGTTATGCTTCCTATGTTCTTCCTCTTCCCCATCCACTTTCTCTCATGCTCCTCCTCTTCCCCTTACCAATCACGGCCTGCGTTGGATGCACGGTCATGCACTATCACCATGCACGGACGTGCATGGATTATCACCATGCGTGCGCGGGCATGCAACTATCCTCATCACGATCGCCTCGAGTGTGTGTGCAGACTGTGACTCGCCCAGTGGTGGCGGCCTTGCTGAGATCGTCGTCGACCCCGTCTACTGCAGTAAGCCCCCTCCCTGCCCGCCCCACCTTCCCTGCTCGCCCCGCCATGCCCGTCATCTCGCCCATCCCCATCACAGCCATAAATAACCATAAACTACCACGTGTTTCGTACCCCTTATATGCTCCTGTTGGCCTCCCTCACTCACCCCAACCTTTTCCCCTCCTCCCCACCTTTGTTCTCCCCTCGCCTCCCCCCCAAACGCATCCTCTTCGCCCTTGTCCTGCGCCCCTGTCCAGAATCGCCACCATTGCCCCTAGCCATGTCGAAAAGCAACAGGCTCACCACACCACCCTCCCCGGCCTCCCCCCTCCCCCATTCCCCCCTCCCCTGTGTGCCTGTGTGTGCCAGGCATCAGTTCGTCGCGCGCGTGCGGGGAGGCGGACATAAAGTCCATCTACGGCACGTGTGACTACATCCGTGACTCCATCACCGGCCAGAAGCTCTCCGTCATGCCCGCCGTCGAGGTGAGCCGCGCCCGCATGTGCCTCACATGCAGGTGAGTGGGAAGGGATTTCACTGGGGACGGTGCTGTAGGCAGGGCAGTGGAAGGATGAGCTGTTTCCACCCGTTTTCATGCTGTGTGCCATGCTGTGTGTGTGTGGTGGTGGGGGGATGTGGTGTGTGTGGGGTGTGGGGGTGGTGGTGCTGTGCTGACTGCGTGTGCAGGTGATCTACTACTTCGACAAGGAGTGCAATCCCTATGCCAGGGGAGCCGTGCCTCTGCCGCCCAACACCTTCATTCCCTGCGGTACCAATCTCCACTCCTCTCTATCTCTCCCTCCCAACCCCAACCCTCTCCGGCCGTCTACCCCCCCGGTTCGCCCCTCCTCTGCTGCATCTACTTTCTGTACGGTGCTGGCATTGCGTGCGTTTCCCAAAGGTACTGTACCGCACCTCACATGCTCGTCCGTACTCCCCTGCTGCCTGCATGCTCTGCATTGCTGCCCTGTGGGTGCCTGCGTGCACATCTCTCCCTCGAGCCTGCCTGCCTGCATGCGTGCGTGTGTGTGTGGGGGGGGGAGGTTGCAGACCACAAGTGTGGAGCGGGGCACATTCTGCACCACGACGACTGCCAGATCTGCCCTGCAGGTGCGCCCCAGCGCTCCTACTCACCGCCATTCATCCCCCATGCACCTCTTCATGCATATCCTCATGCATCTCGACATCTCCCCATGCGTCCCCCATGCATCTCCCATCGCATGACCATCCATTCCATGTATGCCATGAATGCTACCCCATACGCTGCCAGTCAGCCCCTGCTGCTCTGCACCCTCCGCTGCAGCTATGTCTCCCTTATTGCTCCTTGTGTAACCACCTCAGCCTCCATAACTTCATTCTCTGACTCTCTTCCCCTTCCCCTCCCCAGGCACGTACAGCACAGCGGGTGCGCTGGTGTTCAACAAGTTCTACCAAGTCGACCCCAAGTACTTCAAGGTACGCCCTGCTCCTTGCCGCCTCCCACCTGCTCTTGCCCCGCCTGCTGCTATTGCCCTCGGTCAAGTGCAATGTGCTTGAATTCTCTTACGAGCCTCCTGTGCTACATGCACCGTTCTGTGCTGCATCAGTGAGGGAGCACAAGAGGCTCAGCAGCAGCCCCCCCTGCGCTTGCCCCGTCTCACATGCTCGTCTGCCACCACTCCTCGCATGCCCTCCCATCCACCCGCCCCCCGTGTGTCTGCCTCCATCCCTGTGGCAGACGGAGTGTCGGTACAAGAACGCGACGGGCATGTTCCCATGCGAGCCGTGGTATGCGGATGATGGGGCGCTGGAGGTGGGCGCGTACGACTACATGAACGACTGGAACCCTGTCAGTTCCCCTCCTTGCGAAACCCATGCATGTGTGTGCTGAACGTCCGTTTGTGCCCTCATCCCCCCCTGCCTCCGTGCATGCGCGCCCCTCATCTCCACCTCCCGCCTCGCACTGCCTCCCGTTATCATCTTACGTCCTCCCCATCCCCTCATCCCGCCGTACCCCTATCATCTCCCTCGGACCCCGTCCCTTGTGTGTGGCAGGACGTGTGTGCGTCAGACAAGGCGTACAACTGCCACAACAACGTGCGCTCCACGCTCTCCCTTGAAGTCGACCTCGTCCGCGACGGGTGCGCTACCTGCCTTGCCTTGCCTGCACTGCAACCACCACCCCTTGCATGCACGCCTGGCTGTTGGGCTAGGTTTTGTGTCAGAACAGCATTCATGCCTTTGCCAACCCCCGCCCCTCATCTGCCGCCCATCACTCCCAACCCCTCACCCATTTATTCCCCCTACTCCCCTTGACCAGGCACGTGAGGTTCAACTTCACGGTGAGCGCGGAGATGGGGCGGGACGGGCTCTCCTTCTTCATCGACTCGCTCTCCCAGCCCGCCATGGCTCTCGAGTCGTACCAGTTTGAGCCGCGCGAGGTGGTGTTCCCCCTCACGGCGGGACACCACACGCTCGTGTGGCTCTACTCCAAGGACGCGCGCTGGACCAAGGGCGAGGATATTGCGACTGTCAGGGTGAGTGCTGGGAGGGCAAGGGGCTTGCATTGCTCAGCTCAGAGTGAGGGCTGTTGCAGGCGGCTCATGGCGAGGCACCACACGCTCGTGTTGCCCTACTCCAAGGACGCACGCTGGACCAAGGGTGAGGTTATCGCCACGCTCAGGGTGAGTGCGGGCTGGGTGAGGCCATTGCATAGCTCAGAGTGAGGGCGTTTCATGAGCGACATGCAGCTTTCACGTTGGCCCTTGATTTTTGGCCTCGTCTCTTCACCTCAGTCGCTGCACTCGTTGCTCCACTTTCACCCACCAGTGCTTGTATGTCCACCTATCGTGTCCCCTTGTTGTGCCCCCCTCTGCCTTGTGTGCGTCCTCGCCTCTCCCCCCCAACCAGTTTATCGAGGTGGACGGCATTGGCTTTAACGACTTTGTCTGCACGCCCTGTGAAGCCGGCTTCTACAGGTGCGCCCATGCATGCATGGGGGAATGCGGGTATGCATGGGCGCTTGGAGGCATGCATGATGCATGGGGGCTGGGGGCATGTGTGCATGGGGACTGGGCCATGGGCGCATGATGGTGTGTTGCATGCATTGAAGCAGCTGGTCGTTGCTGGAGCACCATGCGCTTGTGGCACTTGTGCATCTGCTCTGCTTGCCACGCTGCACTATCCTGCATCACATGCACATGCTCTCTCGCATACCCACCTCCTCGTCCCCGTCTGCCTGGGCGCCCTCGTATGTTTCAATGAGCAGTGCGGCGGGGGCGAGCACGTGTCTGCCATGCGCGCCAAATACCGTTTCCAGGTGGGCACCCCCAGCCGCATTCCTCTACATGCCTCTGCTCGTACCTGCCTGCCCGCTCCCACGTGCTGTCAGCAGGAGTGCTCCTTGTCTGCGTCGACTCATGAGTGTCTTGATGCCACATCCGCCCACCGTCCCTCTTCCCTTGCACCTTCCCTCTTCCCTTGCACCTTCCCTCTTCCTTTGCGCATTTCCTGTTTCTCTGCACAATGCCAGCCACCTTCCCCTGCATGGGTGCTTATTTCGTCTCCATCTCACCATACCCAACTCCCCATGCCCGCATCACCATCTTATTACGGCACGTGGTGGCAGTGCGGGAGCAGCGGAGTGCAAGGCGTGTACAGCGGAGCAGTACGCGCAGATCATCCCGCGCACACAGTGCCTCGACCGACCCAGTGAGCCCCTCTCTCTCTGCCGCTGCCGCTGCCGCTGCCGCTGCCACTGCCGCTGCCGCTGCCACTGCCGCTGCCGCTGCCGCTGCCGCTGCCGCTGCCCAGTGCCCACTGTATGGCTCCTCTGGGCTCAAGTCCACCTCTTCATTCCGTCCGCTATTTCTCCTGCTGCTTTCAACTGCGTCTCTCACTCCCGCTCTGCTTCTCACTGCACTCTCACTCCGCCATCTCACCACATGCGTCTCTGCCTGCCTGCCCTCCGCTGCCCGTCCACAGCCTGCAGGGTGGATCGCGATGCCACATCAGACATCGGCCCCTGCAAGCTAACCACACTCACGCGCACCAAGGTCGGCCCTCTCAACCCCACGGATCCACACTCATGCTTCTGGTGGAATAAGCAAGCTTTGGATGCCAAGCTTGCTTATTCCACCAGAAGCATGCCAAACTCTTCAGTGCGATGCTCGCCCATTCCACCAGAAGCTCATCCTCCCTTGCTCACCCCACCCACACCTCTCTCCCCTCCCTCCCCACCCCTCCCCTGAACCCCTTCCCCCCCCCCCAGAGCTGGAAGTGGTTGGAGCCGCAGATCTGCAAGCCCAGCGACCTCGACCCTCTCCCCTCCCCCGTCGAGCTGCCCTGTGGTCCGTGCCCTCCCCCCCGCCCTCGCTCCAAGACTCGGCCTCTCTTTCCTCGCCTCCACCCACCCCTGCTCTGCATCTGCCCCCGCTTTGTGTTCTTCTCTTCCAATGCCCTTCACTCCCTCGTCCTCCCACGCCCCACCCCCCATCACCCTCTGACCGCAACTATCTAGAGAAGCATATTGTTCCTCCCTGCCTAGCCTGCATCCCTGCCCCCACGCCCACTGTCCCACGCGCCATGGCATCTCCCCCGCGCTGTCTTTCGTGCCCTTGCCCCATTCCTCCCCCTCTGGTGGTGAGCGCGTACAGAGCACTGTCCGAGTGGGCAGCAGGCGGTGCCAGTACCGGAAACAGGCGAGGTGCAGTGCGACTGGTGCCGCACCGGCACCCACCTTCCTTCCACACACCACAGCGTCTCCCTCATTCCTTCCCTCCCGCTCTCCCCTCCTCCCCCCCTTCTTGTGCGCGCGCAGAGCACTGTCCGAGCGGGCAGCAGGCAGTGCCGGTACCTGCGACAGGCGTGGTGCAGTGCGACTGGTGCCCCACCGGCACCGCCAGGGACGCCACCGAACAGAACACTGCAGCAGCAGCACCAGGCAGCAGCAGCGGCACAGAGGAGGGCGGTGCTGCAGAGGGCACTCCAGCAGCTGCAGGGGGCAGCGGCAGCGGCAGCGGCAGCGGGAACATAACGGACGAGATATGCCGGCCGTGTGAGGCGGGCGAGGTGGCGATGAAGATGTTATCCCTGCGCCACTTCCACATGGAGCAGGGTCGTCTGCCTGACGGCTTCCGCACCGGCTGTCACGGCGACTGCGGCACCTTTGGCTGGCGCGCTGTGCATAACTACCTCGAGTCGGGCAGTGGCCACGGCAAGACCGCCACTGTGAGTGCCGTGCCCTCGTTCCCGCTGCCTTACTTTTGAGGCGCCTCAAAAGTGACTGCGGCACCTTTGGCTGGCGTGCCGTGCACAACTACCTCGAGTCGGGCAGTGGCCACGGCAAGACCACCACTGTGAGCGCCGTGTTGCCTTACTGCCTACTGCAGTACTCACACCCATGCCCCCGTCCGTTCATCCATTTCTCCCCTACCTCCTCCCGCCCTTCACCCCTCGTCTTTCAGCCCCCGCCCTTCACCCCTCGCCCCTTCACCCCTTCTTCTCCCCTCCCCTTCCCCCGACGCCCGTTTCCCACTCACTACTTCCGTCCCCGACCCTTCCTGTCCTCCGTGCCCCTGTGGTGCCGCGGGTGCATGGTGCACGGACGCACAGATCTGGCTGGCACTGGACATAGACGTTGCGGTGACGGGGTATGCCATGTTCAACTATCTCGCCACCCCCCATTCCCCTCCCCCACCGCTTCCCCCCTCGCCCGTTGCCATCCTCCACCCGTGCATGAATGCACAGATCTGGCTGGCACTGGACATCGATGTGGCAGTGACGGGGTACGTCATGTTCAACTACTCGGTTGACATCGCTCCCGGTGACCCCGGCCGCGGCTTCTTCTTCTTTGTCGACCACGACCTCATGGACTTTGTTGAGGTCAGTTGACTGTGTTGACTGCGTTGACTCTATGGCTGTGCGTTGACTAGGTGACTTTTGAGACGACTCAAAAGTCGGCTTCTTCTTCTTTGTCGACCATGACCTCATGGACTTTGTTGAGGTGAGTTGACTTCGTCGTGGTGTATTTGACTTTGTTAACATGTTACGTGAAGCACGAATCAGTAAGAGCATCTCGTCTCACACTTTCTTCTCCCTCTCTCCCTGCCTCTTTCCCGCTTTCCCTCCCACCCCCTTCCCAACTCTCCATGGGGCTGCTGCTGCTGCTGCTTGCAGCAACAACGCGAGGAGTGGGAGAAGACTCCAGGGCAGGAGCGCAAGGCGGGGGGGGAGAACCAGACGGCGATCAGCGGCATGTGGGAGCTGGCACCCGGTAACCACACGCTCATGTGGGTGTGGGAGAAGCTGAATGATGAGAGGGCTGCCACGCGCAAGACCCGTGACTCCGCCATCATATATGACATCGAGGTCAGTCAGGCTGCTCTCTCGCCTGCACACACACACACACACACACACAAACACACACACTCACACACACACACACTCACACACACACACATACACACACACACGCACACACACAGACACACACACACACAGACACACACACACACACACTCACCACAGCTCTCAACACTCCATCTTCCTCCCTCCTCCTCACTCTCGCAATGCCCCCGGCCGCTTTACCTCCCTCCTCCCCCTCTCGTTATTTCCCGGTCCCACTTCTCGCTCCTCCTCCCTAACAGGTGGAGGGTGTGGCGCGGGGTGGTGCAGAGCGGTGCAGGAGGGTTCCGCCGGGGATGCAGATCACGGGGGACGGGCAGACGTGGGTGCCGTGTCCCCCCGGCACGTTCAGTGAGGGCGGGGAGGGCCGCTGCACGCCCTGCCCTGCTAACACCTTCAACCCCTTCCCTGAGGTGCTGCCCCCTTGACCTCTTGTGCTGCTCACTGGTTTTGAGTCGATTCAAAAGCGGGCACGTTCAGTGAGGGCGGCGAGGGCCCTGCTAACTCCTTCAACCCCTTCCCCGAGGTGCTGCCCCCTCGTCACCTCTTGTGCTGCTCGCATGGATGGGCGCATGGGGATGGCTATGCGGATGGGCGCATGGGGATGGGCGCATGAGGATCAACGTATGGGGATGGGCGCATGGGGATGGGCGCATGGGGATGGGCGCATGGGGATGGGCGCATGGGGATGGGCGCATGGGGATGGGCGCATGGGGATGGGCGCATGAGGATCAACGTATGGGGATGGGCGCATGAGGATCAACGTATGGGGATGGGCGCATGAGGATCAACGTATGGGGATGGGCGCATGGGGTTGGTTTCAAGGGGGAAGTGTGGATGCTGTGGTATCTCTCGTTGTGCTCTCTTCCGGGCATGCTGTCCACAATGGTGCCCACCCCATGACCAATCAACTCACTTCTCCCTCGCACTTTCCTCCTGTCTGCTTTGGTATGACATGGCACGGCATGGCATGGTGGAACATGGCACGACAGGGAGCGCAATGGGCGTGTGAGCGGTGTGGCTCCGGCACCACGTCCCTCCCGGGCAGCAGCGAGTGCTTCCTGGGCGATGCACGCGTGCCCTCCTCCTTCTGCACCTTCGCCGTGCACGTCCCCGTCGCCTACAACGCCTCCTCCGCCGCTCCGCCTCCCCCCGCCTCCTCCTTCAACCCCTTCGCCTCCCCCGCCGCGCCCGCCCCCACGGGCCCCACGGGCGAGATGCAGCAGGAGGAGCAGTTTTGGAACGAGACGCTGGCGGAGGGCGGCGGCATGGTCGTGGCGGGCGGCGGGCTGACGGGCGCCACTGCGGGCGGCGGGCGGCTGTTTTTCGACCTGTCGCCTCTCGCGCGGATGCACCCGGGGGTGATGTTTGGGCTCGCATCCAACGATGCAACCACCAAGAACGGAACCCAGCAGGCGTCCTACTTCCTCAGCATGTGCGACCGCGACCGCACCAACGACACGTGCTATGACTACGGGGGCAACGCACTCAACACGTACGCGTGCAAGGTGGACCCGGCAGAAGATGTGGAAGGGACCCTGCGGCCAGGGCATGATCTGGGGAGGTCGCTGGCGATAGAGTCACTGGATGTGGTGGCCAGTGAGCTGAGGACACGTGGGTTTGTGATGATGCTCAAGGGAGACGACTGCCCTGAGACCCAGCTGCCCCGCCAGACCAACATCACCTTCATCTGCGACCCCGCTGCTGGTAATGCTCCCGTACCCCATGCCCCGTGGCTTCTCACACTGTCATTCGGGCTCCAAGCCCTGCATCCGGTCCTGCTTCTCACATATCCCCTCCCCTCCCCTCGCCTCCCTCCTCACGGCATCTGCGTCATCAGTCTTCCATGCCTTAACTCCTGCGTGTCTTGTGTCCTTCTCTTGCCGTCGGCAGGGCATGGGCAGCCGGAGCAGTGGACGAGTGGGGGGCGCATGGCGGCATTTGACCCGCTCCGGGAGTACCCAGACTGGGCGCAGCGCGGGGGCACGGTGGAGCCTGTGGAGGGCACGCCCTGCGAGTTCAACCTCGTGTGGTACTCGCTGTTCGCCTGCCCGCTGTGCTCCGAGCAAGACATTGTCAAGGTGGAGGCCGCTGGGTGCAACGAGAACAAGCGCGTCACGTACAAGTACAAGCACCCCCGGGTGAGTACAGGCACCCCAGTACAACTATGCCTCCTTCTCCTGTCCCCATACCCATGAGCAACCCTCTAATCCGCCACCCATCTGCCCTCTCTCTCTCTCTGCGCCCATGTGCTTCTCCAGGTGTGTCAGCCGAACCCCATGACTCCCCTGCCGGACGATGTGATGTGCGAGGCGTGCACGGCGGATGACTACGACCGCTTTGAGGGCGAGTGTGCGGATGACGACGGCAAGCACAACGTCACCTACATGTGGCACCAGCCCATGCTCTGCAACGAAACCCTCCCGGGCTCCGTTCAACTGCCGGCTGATGAGGTCGCTGGCGAGTGCACGTACAAGATCAAGTACGTCCCGTCGGATAAGCTGAGCTGGCAGTACATTGTGGTGTTTGCGGTGTCAGGCGTGATGATTGTGGTGTTTGGCGTGATGTCGCTGATGACGTGGCTCAAGAGCCGCAAGCTGCATGCCATGTATTCGCGGCTGGTGGAGCAGGAGATGAATGCAGTGGAGGACGAGATGGATGACATGGATGGCGATGATGGTGGTGTCACTGAAGGGAAGCGCCTCACGGAGTCTGAAGAGGATGTTTGATCATGGTGGTGTCTGCTCCAGAAATTAGAGATGTAGAAAGATTCAGATGGTACTTAGAATCTTAAATCGTCTGCTGCCTTCTTTATTCAGTCAAATAGCCTTGGAGGTTATTCTACCTGTAGTAAAACCCATAAAAGTGTGTATCAAACTTTCTGCTGCGGTCAAGGCTCCACAACTGCGTTTGTAAAGAATTTTCCCGAATTCCTTATCGGGGTTGACTGCTACGCGTACAGCCCGATTTTCAGACTTTGCACGTTCGGCCGATTTCAACGCTGCCGAGGCTCCTCGCGTCGCCTTCGGCCTTTCCCATCGCCAAACCTGCACCCCAACCTCGCTCGTCCGAGGTTTCCTCCTAGCTAGGCTAGCTTCTACATTAGTGTGTGCCTTCATTGTATTCTCGGATCAGTTAATCACAGTCTCGTTATTCGTTTACCTGCGCACTCTCTTTTACAACTCATAACACCTGGTATCAGAGCTACTTTCCTAGTTCACCCCGCTTTTCCGAGGGTAGTTTGGTGGCAGAGGGTGTGGCTGGTTTAGTGACTACACGACGGTTGGCTGCAGGGATTGTTAATTCAATCCTGCCCGACTCCGATAGTTCGTGTTTTCACTTGCCTGAAGGCCACGGATACCCGACTGCCCACCAGACGTAGCGCTAGGCACATGGATCAGGAGGCGGTTAACAGGATGATGGCGCAAGTGGCAGAAATGCAGGAGAGCATGAAGTCGTTAATGGCGGAAGTGACAACACTGCGTGAAGAAAACGCCGAGCTGCGCCAGACGCGAGGTGAAGCGCGTCAGGTGTCGCCCGAGGACGAAGGCGAGGACAACAGTCAAGCGGTGAGCAATCCCTTGGACGCGCTTACACGTGACTTCGAAGAAGAGGATAGGTAGCGAGCGGCATCAACGCCAGTTGCAGTAACGACGATCAAGATCAAGCCCGTCAACCCGCCCCCGTTTAATCCTACGGACAAGACGGTTACAGTAAAAGGGTGGCTGTTCGGGGTCGAGGTCTTCTTCACTGCAGCAGGAGTTAACGACGACGCCACGCGTATTAATTACGCGGTTTCGCTTCTTCGAGGTGCAGCGCTTGAGTGGTGGCGCCGAACTTTGGAAACGGGGACGCCGACAGGTGTGACGCATGCGGCAGACGGGACCTCAACAGTGACTAATCAAGTGGCAGAATCAATATTCGGAGTGACCAGGATATGCACATGGAAGGAGTGGGGCGCAGCCTTACGAGATCGCTTCGAGCACGTATCCGCCTCGGAGCAAGCTCGCATGAAGCTGCGTGCATGGTCGCAGATGGCTTCTGTCCAAGACTACACAGCGTCATTTATGGGCCTCGCCGACCAAGTGGACGACATGTCGGAAGCAGAGCGGTTGGATAAATATATCAGCGGCCTCAAATACGAGATACAGTACGAGGTTCGCAGGGGCCGCCCGACATCATTCCTTGAAGCAGTACGGCTGGCGGAGTCTACAGATGCGCTGATGCAGTACGCGAGAACGGCTTCCAGGGATGTAAAACGTTTTCGTGGCCAGACCCATCGGGCCACAATCAACGCCGTCCATACACCCGACCGCCCTCCTAAGGGACCGTGTTACCGGTGTGGGAAGACGGGTCACTACATGAAAGACTGCTACGAGAAAACGCCGCTGACGGGGAACGACAGGAAGGAGCAGGGAAATGGGAAGAGTCAGTAATTAGCGGGCCCTTTACTGACTGTGCTCCGTCGCCCGAACACCACCATCCCCACCGAGTCGTGGTTCCGATTCATGCAATCGATCGCACTCGGCCGAATAACGGGGATACACATGTGGATCACCCTGTGCTGGTCGCTGGCAAGGTGTTAAAAAATAACTTGAAAATGTTCGTCGATGGAGGGGCCAGCCATAGCCTCTTCAACTTGGCGAGCGCAAAAAAATGCAAGCTGCAACTTGACAGGTGTCTGCCCGAAATCGACGCTCGCCTCGTGGATGGGACGCCTCTGGCGATAACGGAAGAAACACGGACGGTCAGGATCGAATGCGGCGACGATTTCGGCTTCAGCATGAAGTTCCTCGCGACAACATTGGACGGCTGCGACGTGCTGCTGGGACGTGATTGGCTGCGACGGCACAACCCCGTCATCGACTGGACAACGGGATCGTGCAGCATCAACAAGCACGAGGGGCTAATTAAACTGCCTGCATGGACACCTGACTACATCCAAGCCCCGTGCGTCAAAGCCATCACTATAGCTCGCCACTTCAACAAGGGCACGCAGCTGTTCGCTGTTTGCTTACGCGAGTTGGCGGTTGACACCGACGGAAAGGACATCGAGAAGCTGTGTGCAGCTGTACCACCGGATTTAGCGGAGCTGATTCGGAGGTACCCGGACATTTTCCCCGACGATCTGCCACCTGGACTGCCACCCGAGAGACCAGAGGACCACAAAATCCAGCTGGAACCTGGCGCGCAGCCGACTGTTCGGACACAGTGGCGGTTGACCCAGCCGGAACTCGAGGAGCTGCGAAGTCAAATTGACGCACTGTTGGAGAAAGGGTTCATTCGGGCCAGCACATCTCCCTTCGCAGCACCGATCCTGTTCACTCCGAAGAAGGACGGCGGGCTTCGCATGTGCATCGACTATCGCGCGCTGAACCGGGTCACCATCAAGTCTCGCTATCCAATCCCACGCACCGACGACCTCCTCGACCGACTTCGCGGCGCTCGCTATTTCTCGAAGATCGACTTACGTGGCAGTTACCATCAGATTCGAGTCTTCGCCGACGACTGTCACAAGACTGCGTTTCGTACACGCTACGGGAGTTACGAATTTACAGTGATGCCTTTCGGCCTCACGAACGCGCCTTCGACATTTCAACTGACCATGAACAGGGTTTTTCGGGATCTTCTAGACCGTTGCGTCATCGTCTACTTGGACGATATCCTGATATTTAGCAAGACAAGGGAACAACACCTCCGCGACCTGGATGCAGTGTTTAAGCGGCTGCAGGAGAACCGACTCATCACCAAGGGCTCTAAGTGCGAGTTTTTTAAGCAGGAGTTGGAGTTTTTGGGGCACGTCATCTCGCGCGAAGGCATTAAAATCGACCCGGCGAAAATCAAGACCATACAGGAGTGGAAGTCCCCGACGAATGTCACGGAACTTCAGAGTTTTCTGGGATTCGTGAATTACGTCAGGCGGTTTATCCCGAATATGGCGGGGATAACCGGCCCGCTGACCGACCTGCTGCACAAGGACAGGAATTTTGTGTGGGGGGAGGAGGCAGAAGCGGCTTTCCAGGAACTCAAGAATTTTCTTGTTTCCCCTCCTGTGCTGCGCATCGCCGATCCATCGAAGCCGTTCGAAGTCATCACCGACGCCTCAGATTTCGCCATCGGAGCTGTGCTTCTCCAAGATTTCGGGAACGGGTTGCAGCCGATTGCCTACGAATCACGCAAGCTGCAGGCAGTCGAACGCAACTACCCGATCCACGACAAGGAGATGCTCGCCATCATCCACGCGTTTAAATTATGGCGATGCTACCTGGTGGGCGCCGACGTCACTGTTCGCACAAACCACAAGTCCCTACAGTACCTGCGAGCCCAACCCAACCTCAACCCACGACAGATTCGATGGCTAGACTACATGGAGAGCCACTTCACCTACCGCATCACGTACAAAAAGGGGGCGAATAACATCGCCGACGCCCTGACCCGACCAACAGTACAATCCGCTGCAGTACTCATCACCCATTCGAACCCGTTGCTTACCGGACTATTCACCCACGGCTATACTACGGACCCATTCTTCACGACTGGAAATCATCAGCAGGCCACGACGCAGAAAGGGGATTATTACCTAAAATCCGGAACCGACCGGATTTGGGTTCCCGCTTACAGGCTGCTGCGTGAACTCGTTATCCAGGAGGTCCACGATTCGAACTTCTCCGGACACTTCGGGGTTGATAAAACCCAGAAATTACTGCACCGTCAATATTATTGGCCTGATTCCTCTAACGACGTGCAGCGATATGTGTCCTCCTGCAGGGTGTGCCAAGCCATGAAATCGACACGTCAACGGCCAGCTGGGCTGCTGCAACCCCTCGAGCCACCCGAACGACCGTGGCAGCAAGTGACAATGGATTTTGTCACGGGGATGCCAGCTGGGCCGTCCGGCAACGACGCTGTACTCGTCGTCGTCGATCGCTTCACGAAGATGGCGCACTTTGCCCCATGCCGAATGACAATCACAGCCGAAGAAACTGCGCGCCTCTTCATCTCAACGGTCGTGCGACTGCACGGCATCCCTTCGGCGATCGTCAGCGACCGCGACCCGAAGTTTACATCAAAATTCTGGAAGGAGACGTGGGCGCAGTACGGCACGAAACTACAGTTCTCATCGGCTTATCACCCACAGACGGACGGCCAGACCGAGCGGACCAATCAAACCATGGAGCAGCTGATCAGGACAAACTGTCCCGACCCTGCCCGCTGGGAAGAATCCCTTGCTATGTTGGAGTTCGCTTTCAACAACGCACCGTCCAGCACGACTAATCACTCCCCGTTTTTCCTGAATTACGGGATGGACCCGACGGTTCCTACAGCGACTTCCCTCGACAACCCAGATCACAAACTTTTGTGACGGAACTTCAGGAAGTCCGGGAAAAAGCCGCCGACGCAATTCGAAAGGCGAATATCACTTCCCGCAAATACACCGACCTTCTACGCCGGGAACTCGTCTTGACTACTGGGCAACTAGTGCTACTTGACACGAAGAACCTGCACCTGCCCGGTCCGTCGAAATTACGGCCACGATTTTGTGGGCCTTTCAAGATTATCAAGATGGTGACACCTGTCACCGTGAAGCTGCTGCTACCCGACGACTGGCGAATTCATGACGCCTTCCACGTCAGCCTGCTTCGCAAGTTCGTGCCAGCCACGACCGACATCGCGAGGCAACAAGCTGCCCCAACTGCACGACCTGTCCCGGAGCCGACTCTCGACCCTT